TCCAACAGAATCTGGCGATCATACACCCAGAGAGAGTTTACATTTATCGTAAGACTTAATAAAATCAACACAAACAAACATAATACTGGCAGTGACAGACGGCAAGCCACACACACCGGCGCCATCTTGACGCATTTTCAAATCAAATCAAAGCTAACTGAGTAGATTGAACAACACTGAGATATAGTTAAATTCCTTACACTGGAATGAGAGTTAACACTGGCCAGAGAGAATTATATAAACACTGCAAAAGTGTTAATTTTAACACTTACAGAGTTGATTTAACACTGGTGATTTTACTGTGTAGGCGACTCGGTAGCTTGCAGCAGCTGGCACGGTTGAACGCCACACTACCTTTGCGATCGACCAGTAGATCGCGATCGACGTATTGGGCACCCCAGGTGTAGACCATGTATACGTCGGAGTGGATCATGAAAACAATACTGGAACAGGACAGAAAATAAAAATGCATGTATCGATATTTATGCAGTCGCATCGATGCATCGGATCATTTGACGTTGAATCGATAATCGATACAAAACGATGTATTGTTACACCCCAAATAATTACAGTTAAATGATATTTTTAAGTAGTGTAAATTTTCTATACTACATTTTGTTGTTGACATAAACTTAATTATTCTGCACATGTCCTGTAGGTGTCAGATCCTGATCGAGGATGAACTTCTGTATCCTGGAGCACCACTGACAAAGGGGCAGAGTCTGTTGCTGTTAATGTCATATGTTCTACGACATAACCTGACTGGGACTGCTCTGGAACATCTCTTAAAGATTTTTTATGAACATTTCCCTGGTCTGGTGCCAGATACTCTGTACCTCTTTAACAAAGTTTACAGAGAGTATGGTCACTATCAACCACATTTTTATTGCTCTTTGTGCTCTAACTACATGGGTGAAAGGGAAAAGTGTCTAACACAGTGCATTGTCTGTCAGACTCCTTTTGATGCAAACTGTAGCCTTAAAAATGGTCATGTTTTTCTGATGATGAGTTTGGCTCATTCTTCAGTGTGCTAACTTACCTTTTATAAAAGAGACAACTGCCATAGAAGGGGTGAAAAAAGATGATGATGAAAGAAAATGATGTAAGTTTACTGTGGAATTGTGATGGAATTCCCATTTTCAAAAGTTCAAAATACCAAATTTGGCCCATTCAGTGTCAGGTAATTGAGCTACAACCCAAAGACAGGAGAAGTAACATCTGTGTGCCATGTATTTGGTTTGGTGAGAAGAAACCAAACATGACCACCCTACTGACTCCTTTTGTGAATGAACTTTTATCTTTTTAAACTGACGGTATCACATGGACTGACCAACAAAATCAAATACACAACTCCAAGGTATATACTCTTATATGTTAGGGTGACCAGATAATCCATGTCAGGGAGGACACTTTGAGCTACTTCGGGTTTTACAAACTACTTTCAAACTGAAAGGCCCCTGTGCTTGGCTAAATAGTTCAGCTCTTCCTGTGCTTTGACTGGTTTGTTTCCTTGAGTGAAAGACTCATCCAGCTGTTTCACATTAACATTAGTGACACATGCATGATTATAGGAGACTGACCAATCAGCACACAGCAAGAACTCAGCGCTCAAGTGAAATCCAGGTCCGTTTAATTGAAATGGTAGTTTACAATTCCTGTCCTAGCTCAGAGTGTCCTCCCTGACATGGATTATCTGGTCACCCTAGTCAAGGGACCATCTGTACTGATGAGATTAAGTAAGTTTCAAATGATAAATGGTTTTGTCCCAGAATACCAACATAGTGTTTGTCTTGGTGTGACTCGACAGTTATGCTCCCTGTGGCTTGATTCCACCAACCACGACAAGGAGTGGTATATAGGCACAAAAGCTAACATAATTGACCGTGAATTGCTGGCTGTTCAACCCCCTGTAGAGGTGACTCGAACACCGCGATCAGCACAAGACAGAAAATTTTGGAAAGCATCTGAATGGAGGTCATTTCTCCTTTATTATTCATTGCCAATTCTGAATGGTGTTTTGCTTAAGAAATATTGGAATCATCTTTATCTGTTAGTTTTTGCCATTCACATGCTTATTTCTGACAGTGTAAATATGTGTGATGTAAATGTAGCAGAAGTGGCACTGAAAAAGTTTGTTATACAGTTTGAGGTCCTGTATGGTATTCAGAATGCCTCATTAAATGTACACTTGCTCACACACATTGCAGCCAGTCCACTGTGGGCCACTTCCACATTTTCTTTTGAATCATTTAATGGCTCTTACTCTTAAAAGGTACTTCAATGAAACTACGCATGTTCCTGTACAAATACTAAAGATATTTCTTAGGTGGAAAAGCCTTTTTAAAAAAGCAGAAACATGCTTGAAAAATGCAAATGATGAAATCGGGAGTCTTTTTTCTGAAATCCAGAATAGCAACAATTTAAGTGAAAGGTCAGAACACTTAAGTGGAAATGTCAGAGTTTTTGGTGCCCCTTCTACAGACAGTGTGCCTGAATCATACATTTGTGCCATTAAAGAGTTGATTGGTGTAAGACAAGTAGACAAGTGCTCTAGATACTTTCGTTTCCTAGTCCATGATACTCTGTATCATGCAGAATGTGGCACCAGGTTACAGAAGAGAAATAATTCTGTTGTTGAATTACAAGATGGAACGTTTTGCCATGTTCTATGCCTTGTAGCCTTTGAGCCAGCCAGTGAAAATCACGCATGGAAAAGACTGTGCTGTGTGGTGGTAAGAAGCCTAGTAAAGTAAGGAAAGCGACTTTTTCAACTGAACATCACATCCAAGTTTCTGCATGAGGTGTCCCAGTCAAATGATATTTTTGCAGTACATGCTGATTCTTTGAAAAGTACATGTGTCATGGTAAAGGCCAAAGAAACAATATTTGTTATTCCACTACCAAATAATGTGGAGAGGGATTAATACTAGAAAGACTGACTGGGTCAATTGACCCAAATCAAACAAAATCACTGCTATTTCTCATTGAAGTTCTTGCTACAAAAATCTGACTTTTATTTTTTTATCATTCTTGAACAGAACATGGTAACACAAATGAAGTTGCTGGTGAAATTAGTATTTTACAGCAGTATATACCTAGAAAGACTGACTGGGTCAATTGACGTAATGTCATGCAAATGAATTAGATAACCAAGTCATAATAACAATAACATAATAGTCATAACACCATCACCGACAGGGCAACTTGAGAGAAGAGTCAGCTGTCAAGTCACAGTCGCTTGTAAACGCAACAAAACTGTCACTACCTGTGACACGTGCAAGCGTCCTGTTTGCGGCAAATGCTTGGCCAAAATATGCATGAGCTGTCAAACTAAAGCTAACTGAAGCTATTTGTGTTAATAGAAAATTGTTATGCTGATGAATTATACTATTGAATAAACCAATACGTCCTAAAAATATAACTGATTTGTGCGTTTTTGTGTGATTTGTATGTTTTTGTATTTATTGGTAATATTACAACTGATTGAAAGCATATGTTAAATTAAGCATATTAAAATTTGTATAAAAATCATTAAATAGCCCAAAAACTCTTTAAAACTACATTTTACATATAAGTTTACATTTAGTAAATTTAATAAAAGTGTGTTTTTATAGTGGAATGTTACAGTTCACTAAACTACATTAAAAATAAAATATACTTTCTAAAAAGTGCTCCAAAGTACATTTCAAGTACTTTGACATCATATTTGTTTAAATTAAACTTTAAGAAAAGCATGCATGTTTCGATAGACAGGCAGTGGAAGCAGAGTACGAGGTTGCGCATGAACATGCTTTATTTCTGTCTGATTGTTGCGTTTCAAAATCATACTGCAGAGGAAACCTCTGCTACATGTCCTGGAAATTGTAGCTTTTATGGACGCTACGTCGTTACTTGACCAAGAAAATAACGTAACTACTGGAAAGTTATTTGATTCAGAAATCAGAGATGCTACAGGCAAGCCACTAGAAAATGTAGTTAAACTAATAGCTTTGCTACATGTAGTAAAATACATTTAGACAATGATAGACAGTAACAGCAATTATTATATAATAAAATACATTGAAAAATAAAGAATACTTATTAATTATTTTAATAATAAACCATTACTGTACGGTTGACCCACCCATTGAGCAGGTTAATGTGATGCTGGCCCAGCTGTTGCACCCTGTAGTTTATGGGGCCAACCTTTTCCAACACAGTGTATGGCCCCTACAACTAAGACAGGAACTTGTGGGTGAATGAGTTGAGGAGCAGAAAATTTTGACTATTGGGCTAGTTATTCTCACACCCAGCTGAGTCGACTACCTCCCTTATCCCAATCGACATATCATGTCCCAACTGCGACCAGAACCCACAACTACCCATTTTAGCATGCATTTGTAGTGCTCAACCAGCCCATCTGTCTGAGGATGATAGGCGGAGGTACGGAGGTTTCTCATCTTCACCTGGGACATGAATGCAGATCCTGTCTTTCAGTATTAAGATTAAGATTAAGATTTGGTTTATTGTCAATACAACAATACACACAGTATACAGTGCATTGAAACGTCGTTCCACACAGGTCCCCCACGGTGCATTATAAAGATAAACGGTGCATTATCTCCTTGGGGCATCCCTCTCAGCTAGTGAGGATGAACAGCTCCCTCCATTCTTAGACATGGCCTTCCTCACCTACCTGCCCAGACCTCAGCTTCCACAATTCCACAGGACCTTCCATGTTTATACCTAGACTACTCAGAATTCTACTTTATAAATCGGGTCTTTATTTTGGACTTCCTCTGCTGGCCCAAAGAGGATGGGCTCCCTCCCTTAACTCTGGTTCCTCCCAAAGTTTCTTCTTGCTTGGCAGTTTTTCCTTGCTCACTGGGGGGTTTTGGGCAGGGACGATGTAAAGTGCTCTGAGACAATGTAATGTTGCCGAAATGCACTATACAAATAAACTGAATTATATTGACCTGAATTAAACTGAATTAAAAATCAGAATATGAAAAAAACAGTCATTTAAAATTTTTAAAAGTTTTTAATTGACATATAAAGTAGTATCATATTGTATATCTGACTACACATGATTACACACGAACAGTGGTAAAGACAACTGATTGGAAAATATATATTACATAGACTGCTTATATTTCAGAAGCTAAAAGTAATGTAAGATAATGAGAGAAGCAGAATTTTGTAGAAATTTTCTGTTCAATTAAATATCCAGTCATAATGAGTTTAAATTTAATTGTAAATGATTTAGTTCAGTCAAGTTTGTCTTGATTATTAATAAATATTTTAATACAGGCAGTAATTTACTTTTAATTTTTAAAATGGTAAACAAAATTAAATGATAAAAGACAGGGTAAATTTTGAAAAGAGTAAACAAAAAGGTACTTTTAGAAACTAAACGGTTAGATTGAGATACTTTTTGTCATACAGTCTATAATTTGGTTTTAATGTTACAGAAACGGTGCTGATTGATGAGGAGAGAAACAGTTGAGGATGTCAGTGGCCGCAGAGTGACATCAATGAGAGGGAGAGGGTGAGGAGGGCAGGGAAGTGCTGTCCTGCTCTGCTGGGCTGTGGCATCGGCCCCACATTCCCTTCGAGGAAATTCTTGAACTTGGACAGCGATATGAAGACCTGCTGTGGTCTCGTTTTTGAGCTGGAGCTATTTGTCATTATCACTGCACCCTGGAACCAGGTGCTGCTGTTCTGGGAAACCAGTGCCCCCCCTGTGTACCCCTGTGATGAGGAGAGGGAGGCAGAAGGAGCGAGAGAAGGGCTAAGGCACAGATACATCTGTAAGGAAGCAGCAGACACTGTCAGCGCAGAGGAGGATGAGCATGAAAGCGGCAGGAACAGATTCATGGCCCTACCGTCAGTGAGCTTATAGCTGGAGTGCAGATGTCATCAGGTGAGACGGACGCACAGTCTTCCACCGACGTCTCCTGCTGGTGGACTGCAAAGGGGGGGGTGTTCTTGTGACTTGCATAAACTTCCAATATTTTATACTCAGTGACACAAGACACTATTTCAAAGTGAGACATGTGGGTACACACTGACACGCTCACCTCCACCCTCATCACTGTTCAATCGTGTCACCCAGCACTTTGCCCCACTGGTGAATACGATGTTATCCAAGTCCAGGCACACGGGCTGGATGTAGTCGGTCAGGGTCACACTTTTGGCCAGGTGGAGCAAAGCGATGTTAGGACCCGGCAGGTTGCTCAGGGCGATGTCAGACACCCCAAGTGACACATTCATACCCAGAACCACTGTCCACTGGCTGTTGGGTACTGAGCTGAGGTTGAATGAATTGGAAGCACAGAAAATGGAAACATGAGGATGTGGAACTGAAGGATTGATCATCACTAAAGGTTTGAGATCTGAATACATGTAGACAAATAACATCATAAAACTAACAGAAATTCATATAGAGCTTGGTGGTCAGTTGCGAGAGGAACTGACCTGTTGAAACACTCTGCTGTGCTCAAGACGTATGTCTGTGTTATGAGAGTGCCCCCGCAGACCTGGACCCCATTCCTGTGCAGGCTGACCTGCCAGGGCCACACCCCTGCCTCCACAAACTCGCTGTTCCCAGCGTTATTCAGTGGAGCGAAACCACATACATTCGCTGAGATGAAGAAGGTGGGGGAACAAAGGCAGAGTATTAATACAATACTCAGGATCATCTGCTGAGATCTATGCTGCTCATACTCTGTTACTCTGCCTCTGAAACGCAGTTACAACATTAACAAGTGATCAGCCAATCAGAGAGATGGCACTTGGTACAGTTATGTGAAGTCTCCCTTTGTTGTAAGAATAACCTATGAACCAATGAGACATTAAAGATGGGAATGTCAGACACTCACGTTGGGCAATGGTGGTGGAGGTAGATGAAGTCTCTGAGGTGAAGGAGGCTGGAGAACAAAGGTGAATATTACTACAATACCCAAGATCGTCTGCTGAGATTTACACTGGTCATACTCTGTTACTCCACCCAGTTATATTTACATAATCAGAGGCCCCCCTATTATTTTCTATGATGGTGTGGTTGTCAGCTGGGGCGGAGGATGGGGTGGTGACAGTAATACGTGTCAAGTTTGGAGGGAGGTAAATTAGGTATTAAAGTTAATTGTGGCCCCTTTTTAGCGGAGACCCCTGGGCTTCAGCCTGGGTAACCCCATGCATTAAAGCACCACTGACTCCGCCTCTGAAATGCAGTTACAACATTAGCCAGTAGTTACCCAGTCAGACAGAGAGCTATTGGTACAGTTACATGAAGGCTTCCTGTACTGTCAGAGGTCTGTCTGAGAAAGGCAATCACACAGCAGACACAATAAGAATAACCTAAGTACCCGATGGCAAATTAGAGATGGGAAACGTCACACACTCACATTGGGCAGTGGTGGTCGGCATAGATGAATTCTCTGTGGTGTTGAAGGTGATGTTGGAGGTAAATGAATCCGCTGAGGTGAAGGAGGTGAGAATTAGGAAAGGAATCAGTACAAACCCCAGGATGCACTGGTCTGTTCTAATGAGGAAAGCCACCTCATTATGATCTGTGGCCAAATCTCTATTATCTAAATTATTACAGTAACAATGAGCAATAATAACTCTAACCCTAATCCTGTAATATGATGAGAATCATTTGAGTCAATTTAGGAAGGAAACAATAAGGACAGGAAAGGAATAAGATAACATCATGGGATTTAGGCATGAGAAATATCAGCCACTCACACGGGGTGGAGGATGTGGGAGTTGGTGTTACACCAGTGCAGGTGCCATTGTTGCTCTCTGTCCCATTGGAGAGGAAAGTGACAAGGCATGGCTGGTCAGTGGCGATGGTGAAGTTGATCCAATCCTCATAATAGGACACCCGGGTGAAAACTTCAGGGTAGTTTGTTTCTACACAGCCAAAGCTCGCAACCCCAGCCTGGATCCAGACAGAGCCCTGCTGGGCCACCAGTGGACCCCCAGAGTCTCCCTGCAAATACATTATCACAAATAGAGAAATTACCATCCATTAAATTTTCATATACCAACACTGAAACCTGTAAGCACAGGGACAGCTCTCAGTTACATGCCTTGAACATGACTGTGGAGAATCTGCTGTACCTGACATGAGCCCTTCCCTCCTTGTAGGAGACCAGCACATATCATGTTGTCTGTGATTGTGATGTTTACCATTTCATAAAGGCAACTACAGATCCCATTTCCTACTACAGGGGTCTGCACTTCCTGTAGAGTCACAGGTGATCGTGGAGAGACTGGGGTGAAAAAACATTGGTTTGACTGGGAGAACGGATAAATCACACAAGATTAATCACACAAGCCAACTCTTCAGCTCTCAGTAAACCACTGGCATCTAATGTTTCATTTAGGGAATTAACCCTCTCAAGGCAGGCGTTGCTGATTTGCAACAGTTACAAACTAACTACCTTATTACCTTATTATTAGTTTTTTTTACTCAGAAGTACCACTGCAGGACTTTGTCCTGTCCTGTTACTAAAACTTAATTTGAGCCTGAAAGGGTTAAAAGGATTCAGGGCGATGTTAGCTATTGAAATCAGTAGCAGAACTGATATGTCAGAATAGAGATATGATCACATACCATTCAAGCTAACATCTCCCCAGCCAGTGACCCAGGTCTCAGTGCCGCTGTAGAAGGTGCTGCCATTGTCTGCCAGGCAGATGGGTTGGATGTAGTTGGTGAAGTTCACAGCGGCATTGAGCTTTAGTAGAGCGATGTCATTATCGTGTGTCTGACTGTTGTAAAGTGGATGAAGGATGATGTGGGAGGGGTTCACATTTTCCTGATTCTGTTGGCCCAGATGCACACTCCAGCCAGTTGTGTTTGTGCTACAGCAAATGAAAGAATCAGGAGCAATACCTAGCATGCATGGCCTTTATCTTCCTGAAATATTTCTCGTTGTAATTTTCACTTCAGTACTATAATAAAAAATATATAATAATACTTGGTAACCCCACACAAATGTATTCTGAATGGTTGGCTTTGTCCCAGTAAATGGCCAGGAATTGTAAACTCTACAGTATAATGCTAACTGTCTAATGGATTTTTTAGTTTTCAAACCACTAGCCTAATTATATTTTGAACAAGGAGAGGTTATACCAGTCAGAAAATGGGTCTTAAACATACAGTTTAAGTATTATTATTTATTATCCATCCATCCATCCATCCATTTCCTATACCCACTTGTCCTATGCTGAGTCGTGGGGATCTGGAGCTTATCATTTGGAGCCTACTATTGCAGGGCACTCATAATAATAATAATAATAATAATATTTCAATAAATAATAATAATAGAAAAAATAGGCAAAACACTTCTGACTTAAAATTTCAAGGGTTATGATACATGTCTTGCACTAATAGTATTATAACATTAAAATGGAAGGTTAGTTTGTTTAACCCGGAGCAGACTTTGTTCTATTAATATGCCTCGATGTTGTATTTACAACCAACTCCTCAGTCTAGATTCAAAAATTCTAAAGCTCTTATTGTTAGTGCGTTACACTCAACAAGATTATGTTAGTGACTTTTCGGCCAATGCAATCACAAACATTAAGTAAACAATATATAAAAGAGGTAAACGATATCCAAAAGAAGTAAATTGTGTATAAACATAAACAATAGAAAATGGCATATTCTTAAAAATGATCTACTAGCTGATAGCATGATGCCATTAAACTACTTTTTTCTTTTTAAACTGCAACTCCATTTTAATATGAACATCTGTTTACAGTTTAAATGTGTTTGCGTAACTTGCTTCTTCACTGATTAATTATCTTGAATAATTATTTTCTTAACTGTTCATCCTTCAGCAATTTTTACATCACAACTCACCTGGAGAAGCAGTGGGCAGCAGTGAGCACCCACATACTGTTGATGAGGGATCCTTCACACATGTGGAAACCATTCCAGTACAGACTGGCCTGCCAGGGCCAACTTCCCACAGAGGTGTTCTGACCTCCCACTATCCTGGTGTTGAGAGCAGCTTGGCCACACACTGGGAGGGGGAGAGGTGAGCAGGAAAAAGGCTAAACATGGACCAACTTACACTGACATACACTAATAGTTTTAGCGTGATGTTTCAAAGAAAGGAACAAACTCATAATATTAACAAACTTGGCATTTGTAGGACTGGGCAATATAAACGATATATCGACTTATTGTCATATGAAATTTAAAACATGAAACTACTAACTTTGAGAAACTGGTCAGTAAGGAACATTACTTAATAGCACACATCAGCCTATCACATCACAGAGACAAACGCAATTCCAGGCAATCACATCGTAGTCTTTTAAGACATGAGTGGCGTGGCAGTACTTTCTGCAATTTAAAACAAAAAAGTGGACCTAGTTACCACCAGTTAGTAAGGTTTAATTATTCAGTAATAACAGCATGACATGCATGAGCTGCAAGAGTGCAATATGTACATGTAATGTAATGTGTGTGTTCGTGTTGAAAATAGTAAATGTTGTAACTGTTTAATATTTCACCATAGAATGCCTATGTTTCTGTTAGTGCTACCCTGAACGTAAGAGGACAGGTAAGGAGCGTGTGCTGATTACAGCAAGTTGCCACATCCACCACGTGACAAACTCAGCAATTAGAGCCTGAGAACAGCTGTGCAGCAGGTAGTACCTCAGCACCACACTAGTTCAAATGGAATGGAACAGTGATTTTTTTTCCCGGTGGCTGGACTGCCAATCCTGCCACCAACCCCTTGGTTTTACCTGGAAGTTGGAGGACCTGCTTACAGGGCTGGATGTAGGTCAATGCCATACTCAGGATGAAGCAATTGCAGGTTAAGGGCCTTGCCCAAGGACCCGACAGAGTAGAATCACTCCTGGCATTAATGGGTTTTGAATCAGCAACCTTCCAATTGCCAGAACAGATCGCTAGCCTCAGATCTAAAACAAGACTTCATGCTGGGATTACCTTTCTACACATAATCTAAAATAAGGCAATGATTCTGTTGTTGTTTCAAACTTGGAACTTATTATATTACAAGAATAATTTAAAAAAACATTCAATACTTTATTCAACACTATCCTACAATATCATGATTTACCTGCAGAACTACACTGACATGTTTCTTTTGCACAATAAAAAAACTGAGTAAAAACTGAATGTTCTTTTTTTACAATCAACAAGAACAGTATATAATCTCTCTGCTCTTGCCCAACAGGTCCCATGGAGTCCAAGGGTTCTGGCCTGGAAGTCCCACGGGACCCCCTTGCCCTGTGGTGCCAGCCCACCTGCACCTGCCCTGGTTCCTGCACTGGTTCCTGCTCTGCAGGTCCTTCTGTGCCCCTCAGTCCTGGCCCAGCTGCCCCCTCAACATCCTCTTGCTCCCATCCTGGTCCCTGCCCAGCCTCCTGCCTCAGTTCTTGTCTCGATCCTGGCCTCACGAGGCCCAGGACGTCACCTGGCAGTGCTGACTGCGTTGTGCCGCCAGGCCCCACGGATCTACTGATGCCAAAGAGGACACATGCCATGGGACCAACAGCCAGCATCCTTGGATCGTCCGGACCCCCCAGTCAGACGTCACTCCCTCTCCTGCCTCAGGCTTCACCCTTCTCTCCTGTCTGGTTGTGGTTTTCCCCTGGTTTTCACCCTGTCCTGTCATCCAGGTCCCCCAGGTCCACACTGGTGTCTCTGTCCCTTTCCTGGTGGTCCTTACATGTGTCAGTCCTCTCCCTGTCCCTGTGTTTGCCCAGCTTGTCATCCTTGCAGTCCCTCTTCCTGCTTCTGTCCATCCCCTGGTTTCCTCTCTTATTCAGGTATATTAGCGTCTCCTAGTCCTGTGCTCCCTGTTCAGTCATTGTTCTCTGTCTGCGTGTGCTTCCCTGCCTGTTTCCCACCATAAACTCCCCTGCGAGGGGTTTCTCTTGCTCACAGCCTGCATTCGGATTGTCCTTCTTGCACCACATTGTGACAATAGCAAACAGGCTACTACTTTTTCTGCATTGGTATTGTTACAGTACCAGTATCACAGTACTTAAAATGGTATTGGTATTGATGCAAGGTTGCCAACTTTGGTCACTTGGTTGGACTGATATTTTCAATTTGAAACACGTCTGCACACCCATGCACATGTATTTGTATGTATTTAATAGTTTCACTACCTTGTGAATAGTCTGTAGGGTTTGAAAACTACCCCAATGCTTCTGATGTAGCTAATTTTAGGTTTATAGTGAAATAATACGCATTGGCAGTAAGATTTCTTGCATGTTAGCGTTATACCAGATGTGTGAGAGTTGCCAACCCTGTGGATGTAATTTTTGGTGTCGTGACAACATATGCAGCTCTGGAAAAAAATAAGAGATCACTCTAGATTTAAAAAAAAATCTGCATCCTTAAATCCCGGTTTAATCCTGGTTCTGCTGGCAGAAGGCTACCCCTAATGGCAGGTTGCTTCCAGGCTCAAAGTTCCTAAGACAGCAGTACACAAGAACACAGTGAAGTGGACATTGGCAGTGACCTTAAAGAAGCCTGGCAGAGGGCAGAAGCAACTTTCTAATGCCAGAGATGACCATCAACCTATCTGGCAGTGCCTCATAATTGGAGGATGACCTCAAGTGACCTTCAAAAAGCATGGGGAACATTAAGTGGTGTGAAGTGCACTGCTAGGACAGTTAGGACTACTAGGACTCCTTTTTGATATCACTGTACAGTGCTGCTTCGATTTTGGTGTGATTTGTCTCAAAATTTCATCTGGTCCATATGTTCAACCTTATGATGTGCAAAGGTTGAAAAAGATCTGTTAAATACTTTTTGAGTTATCGAGCTGACAGGATCCAATGTCTGAAACTACCTTTTTTTCTATAACTATGTGGTGCTGCTTCTATTTTGTTAATTTCCAGTTTGTCATTCCTACAATGTGCCTGCAAATTTTGATAAAGATCCATAAATACTTTTATAGTTACTGTGTTCACAAGACCAACAGCTGCCATTTCCTTCCTTTGCTGCTACACAACACTGCTGCTTCATTTTTGAGGCAATTTGTGTGAAAATGAAATCAGGTATAGATTAGCGCTGTGCGATACAACGATATATATCGGGTGATGAAATTAAAACGTCTATCGTTTCATATTATGCTCTATTGCTTATTTCTTGGTGTCACAAAATAGATTGTCAATATTTTTTCATCATTTAGATGACGGTTTACAATGTTACATGCCACCACATGGGATGTGGGCATACCTGTCAAGTTTTGGATTTGAAAATAATGGAAATTTTCCAGTGTTCTGACAAAACATCCTACCTATCGAGACGTGCTATCAAGCCTTTCTGCGCATGTGCAGTTCCACCGTTTTGGGATTAGGGTTAGGTTTTAGGGGTTTGGGTTAGGGTTAAGGTAAGACTTTTAGGGGTTTTTGGGGGGTTAGGGTTAGGGTAAGAGTTAGGGTTAGGGCTATCGATTAGCACTACGGTAGGATGTTTTGATAAAGTAGGACGTTTTGTCAGAACACCGGCACCCACTGCGAGCCATCCCACCACCCCAACCAAGCTCCAGTATCCCTTACATTTTAAGACAGGCGTACAAGAAATCTAAAATAACCACTTGTCATTTACATTTTATTTTCATTACACATTTTCTTTTAATTTCTCATGTTCACTCATGTGGCTCTCTGGCATTCACTAATGACTTATTATACAGATTTGTTGCAGACTTTGTATCATTGTTGAAATTGTTACAGAAGGTGAAAGTAACGTTGTTTTTGGTAGGGATGTTCCGATCAGGTTTTTTTGCCCTCGAGTCCGAGTCATTTGATTTTGAGTATCTACTGACACTGAGTCCCGAACCGATACTTCAATAATACATAAAAAAAAGAATAAAGAAGAGCGAAGAAACAGGATGTTCCTTATTTTTTATTTAATTCACCTTATTGTAACATTCAACAACTCTGTTAAAAAACAGAGCACTTCTGTGAGGTAGCTTGAACAATCAAGTAATAAATAACATAAATATCTCCAGACCGCAGACATACTTCAAGTTGCTTCTGTGTTCTACTAAGTTTAGAAGTAGTTAATCAAGACTTGAAACATGACTTCAATTGAGACTCCAAATCGGCCTGTGCTCCTAGCAGGAAAACATGGCCGTTTTGAGTTGTGTGCATGCGCAGTAACAACGGGTAGGACAGCTTGATAGGTAGGACGTTTTGTCAGAACACCTGTTAACCAATAGTGTCTCTGCAACAAAGTGATGTCATGCCGCACGCGTTGCTGTTTCTGTGTGGAGTCAAGAGGTCTAACTCTGTGCCACCGCATAACTATAGATGTGTTAAAAAATAATGAGAATATATATACATATATATATCGGATCTGGACATCCCTAGTTTTTGGCACACAGTATTGCCATTTTAACCTCCGTATTTATGACTTGGTTAATGTTGTAAATGACCTGCAGACTACTGCAGTTTGGAGAGGCAGAGGAATTTTTTTTTTTTAATGATATTATAATACGGGAGATTTACGGGAAAATACTAATACGGGAGGACGGCGGGAAAGAGGGGTAAAATACGGTAGTTTCCCGGCCAAAATGTGAGACTTGACAGCAATGGATGTGGCACTTGTATGGAAGTTTTTATTGAGTTTATTTGTAACCCACAGAAAACAATCCACAAATATGTACCATGATCCATATATTTAACTATCCAAAAATATGTATCTTTTACTTGTATTTGTATAAAATCATATCCATAAAAATACAGTATGATTTGTACACTAGAAAAGGGTTTTTCAGATTTGTGGATCACTTCTTGTTTGTGGATCACATTAATTACTTATTTGCAGATTTTGTGTTCAATTCGTACCGAGGCCGATCAAGCGATTTGTACACCTGAAAGAGGTTTTGCACATTTCTGGGTCACTTCCCTTCCTCTATTGGATCACGTGACATTTGTGACTTTCCTCCTACTCATTAAAGGATTTTTGTCCTATTTAATTATTTATTTATTTACCTTTATTTTACCAGGAAGTCCCATTGAGATATAAAATCTCTTTTACAAGAGAGACCTGGCCAAGGTAGCAGCCATACAAAACGTAAACATATACATGACAATAAAACATTAAACAGTAAAACAGGAGAACAATTGTTTTTGCACAGTGGCTTCTCAGGCAAAACATTGACATTCCTCAGTCACTGTACTATTTATGATGATCTTAAAATCCTTTAAAAATATTAGTGTTTGCAATTTAAGAACTTTTTGAAGGTTGTTCCATGACCATGGTGCGTAATGAGAAAATGCTGTTTTGCCAAGGTCTGTCAGGACCTGGGGGACATACAAAGGCAACCACTAGGAGGCACGCAAGTGGTAGCTATTGGAGCTGATGCAGAGTAGGGTACTGAGATATTCTGGGAGTTTACCCAGCAAAGCTTTGTAAACAAACATGTACCAATGCCGTTTTCTATGGATGGTTAATGACGTCCAACCAACTAAGTCGTAAAAAATGCAATGATGAGTGAGGGATTTTGCATTTAAAATAAAACGTAGAGAGGCATGATACATTGAATCTAGGCTCCTTAAAGTGGAGGAGGCCGCATGCATGTACAGCATATCACCATAGTCTATCACAGGTATAAAGGTAGCTTCCACTAGCACTTTTCATTTTGTGCACAGAACAGATATCAGCACATTGCATTTCGTGGACAGAAGTCTGAATATATCTGCTTTCGTGAATAAAAAGAAAGCCATTTCATTCTCAAAATTTTGTTTTGTCAACAAAATCAATTCATTTGTGCACAAAATGCATTTCGTAAGTGAAAGAAAGCCATTTGGTGGACAAAATGCATTTCATGAATTAAAATTCATGTTTACATTTGGAATTTTGCACAATATTTTATGTTCACCTTGTATTTATTTTTGTTTAAAATTTATATTTTAGTTTTTATATAATGCTATCATTCAAACTTGAAGGTGTATTTTTGGTTATTTTTAGTATGTTTATGTTGTGAGCCTTATATTGCTGCAACAGTTTAAACTTGAAAGTACAATGTCTTACATTTGATATTTTATATAACAATATTTTATACTGTGCCTGTAATCATTTACTTTTGAAAAGTGTTTTATATTACAATAATATTTTATTCTTTTACGTTCTTAAAGATTTGCCCAGAAGTTATAATCACAGATGAATGAGTACCAGTATCATTATATTTAATTATTAATTCATTAATTTACAGAAAATGTACTAAGTCGTGACATACAGCACTGGAAATAATTGAAAGCATAGCATAATTGTAAGTTTCACTCATTTTTCAGTTTATTGATATTCTTCCTTGCTTTATGGGACTTCGGTCCTGCTCCTAGGAGCCTGTTGCGAACTTGTCCTAGAAGTGCACTTCACACCACTTAATGTTTCCCAATCTTTCGGAATGTAACTTTATGTAATTCTCCAAATCATGAGGCACTGATAGATAAGTTGACTGTCATCGCTGGCATTAGAATGTCGCTTCTTCCCTGTACCTGGCTGGTTTTTGGTCATTCCCAATGTCTCCTGCTTCACCCTCTTCTTGTGTACTGCTTTCTTAGAAACCTTGAGCCTGGAAGCAATCTGCCGCTCAGTGTAGCCTTCTGCCAGCAGAACCGGGATTAAACCAGGATTTAAGGATGCAAATTTTCTCATAATTTCTTCCAGAGCTGTATATCGTTATCGGGATATGAGCCCCAGTCTAGATATTCATCCACACAATGTTTTTGTGAAGCAGTCATATAATCCATGACACATTGACATCACATTCACAAGGGCAAATGTTGTCTGCTTTCACTAAGCAGCGTTGCTGCCGTTTTGGGGCAATCTTGCTGAAAATTTAATCACTGGCAGTTTTAGTTTTTGTGTTACTGTCTTAACGGTATCAACTGCCCCTTTTAGTCCGTCTCAAAATTGAACCATTTGCAGGTCCTCTCACATACAATGCATGTGCAAAGTTTGAAAAACAGCTGTCAAATGGTTTTTGAGTTACCACCTTAACAAGCAAAGTGTCAATAGTAGCAGTGGCAGCGGACCAATGGTAAAACCATATGTGATCCCAAAATATATGGGGAATACGATTGAAACTGAAACAGAGGAAGGTAATATGTGTTAAAGCAGCAAAGGAAAGCAATAAGAAACCAACCTATGGGGCATCTGTTCAGATATGAATAAAAATATGCCAGAGATGACATTTACCCATAGGTGGATACTTGCACACACTTAAAGTTTATTAAGCATGTAACATTCAGGCAGCACAGCTCAACCGTGATTCTTTCTATTGTGGCTAAAGTATCACTTACCCTTAACGACCAGACCCAGCAGCACCAGAAAGCACACGCTTGTCCCAAGAGCCATTGCTTCCAGTGAAGCTCCCACTCCGTGGACGCGCCTTTGCTACTGTTAAACTTTTATCTTGGACTAACTTAATTTTACCCTCAACACATCCCAACCTACCGTTCTAGCTTTTATCCTGGAATCTGCAACCATTAATGTCTAGAGTTTACAGTCAACAACAGGTCTGAGGGTGAAGACACCTTGTTAATGAGAGCGTGTAAAAATGTCATGGATGAAACGTTAGTAAACATAAGTGTTTTCAGTACCTTGTTGACCCCATGCATTTAACCCAGGGGTCTCAAATTTACATAAACTTAGCAGGCTGACGTGTAGCTTAAAGGGGCTCCTCCCTGGTACTGGGCTGGTGTATATAATGAGGGTGGGGGGTGGTGAATTAGCATGTCTATGCATGTCAGATCATTTCTAAAACTCTACACCAATGGATCTTCTAACTACTAATACAGATCAGAGTCACAGTGTATGTGTGTGTGGGGGGAGGGGGGTGTCAGTGCATCGCAGGGCAAAACTACACATTGTGGGCTTTTTAGACACCAAATTAACCCAAGTGCATGTCTGAGTCATGAGAAAACCTAGGTGACCCAGGAAAAGCCTACAGACACCACACACATAGTGTGTCAGTCCCCCAACCCTGCAGACCAACTGAGCCACCCAGAAGTACTTACATTAACCTGCATGGAGATGTGAATAAACTAGCTAAAACAATTTCACAAAGTACATTACAGTAAACAAAAACATGGAATTTACTTTAGTAAAAAAAAAAAAAAATTGAAAACCACCTTAGAAACAGTTGTAATTAAAAAGAGCCGATGCAAAACAAGAGGTTGGGGCAAACAGCTCAAGGTGGTGAAATCTACATTTTCAGGATGAATAAGCAGCTACAGAAAATGCTGTTGTTCTGGATATTCATCACGCTTCAGAGTGGGAGGAACAGGACTGTAGAGGATCCATTTTCTTCATTTCTATTCATCTCTGGAAACCAGTTTATCTGCTCCAGTCACCCTAACTATACCTGCATGAACAGCACCATGCTTCAAAAGTGCTTGATTCAACACTGCTGACAAAAGCTCTTTTAATACCTTTCAAATGTGTTACAGCAAATTAGTTGAACGTTGCACACAAAAAACAGCAACATCAGTCAACTGGACGTGTTAATTGTCTGGTGAGCTGAAGATGGACTTCTCAAGCAAACAGAATTGACAGGAATGCAATTCCCACGACATCATCATCTGGAAGATGATGTCGCAAGAAGCCATCTAACTGCTTCTAGACATTCCAATGATTTGTCTGTCTGTCTGTACAGAACATAAACTAAATCTAAGGCTTGGTTTCTATGAATCTTTCATGGAAAGGAACAAGCTTGACAGAAACTGAAGAAAAACCACACACTAATAAATTTGAGTTCTATCTCTAAAAAATCCTATGATAAAGAAAATCAAGATGCAATTTGGTCGACAGAATTTGTTTTAATTTCAATCCAAACATTCACGTCATGGAAGAAAAATCTAAGAGGTTATCTTTGTAAAAAGTTTAATATGGGTATGAGATGCTGTGGGAGGGTAGAGGAAGAAAACCAAAACATGTCAGCACAACAGCAAAGGAGTCCATCAGGATAACTTCCAAACACAAGTGAAAAGGGGGGGGGTGCTGGTCCCATGTTGGGTGAGCGGCGGTCAGTACGGTCTGTCTCTGCGTTCCTGTCTGTGTTCACCCCTGAAAAGAACATCAGATGGGCTGCTCAGTGCATGTGGGGAGCAGCCTGAGGCTGTCTGAGCTTCTGTCCCGTGCGCATGTCAGCCCACGGCCCTGAGAGCGATTGGCCACAGGCAGATCTCAGATCACGACACATGACAGGATACGCTTAGGGCCCAGCTGCTTCCCTTACCTGCCTTCCATTTTCCCAGGGCCAAACCCACCCCTGTCACCACCACGGCCTCCTCTGAAGCCACCCCTGTCCCCTCCTCGGCCCCGGAAGCCTCCGCGGTCAAAGCCGCCCCTTCCACGGTCTGCACTGAAGCCTTGAGAAAGAGAGAGAGAGAGAGAGAGAGAGACTTTGACTTTTAAAATTTCTTTATTATCACAAATGCATACTTAATCCTTACTCAAAAAAAATAAATGAAAACCAGGAAAAAGATGAGGAAAAAAAAAACGAAAGATATCAGTCCACAAATCCACCATGCACATCATACAAAACTAAACTTTGATCATCGCCAAGTTCACACAACACTCTGCATTGTCCCCACACTGCGGAAAACTCCTGCAGGGTATGGGTTAGCTCAGAGTACGCATACTCCACCCTGAACTGCACCGCTACCAGCCCCACCAATATAGACTTAGCATCCATCGGCCCAACCCCTTTCAGCTTATTTCTCCGAGACAGCCAAATTGCAAGCTTGGCCTGACCCACTAGAAAATTCAGCAAGCACAATTTGACTTTCTCACGTGCCGTATATTTCGGACCATAGATGAAAATGACATCGGAAAATTCTCTCTCAAGCCCACCAAACCATGCCTCAAGCTTCGAGAACATGATCCCAAGCCTCTCGCACCTCAGAAAAAGATGCGCCACAGTTTCATCTTGCCCACAAAAAGGGCAGTCCACTACCACAGATGGCTCGATACGCGCCACATATCGATTCGTGGCCACACAGCCCCATGTACCAACCTCCACTGCAGGTCAGCTGTACGCTTCTCTATGGGGGGTTTGTACAGGGTCTTCCAGCAGCCCATGGGGGAAGCGCCAGGTGCCAAAGTGCCCAACCACTTAGAAACTGCCACCCCTGTCAGAGAGCCGTTATTAAGAACTTCCACACTTGCTTCATAAAGCGCTTTCTTAGAGGCCCCCGCAAAATCTCGCAGCTGCGGCACTCTGAAAGAAAGTAGCAACTCATCATCCTCCCACTGACCTTCCACTGCCGCTGAAACATGGAAAGTCGAGAAAACCCGACTCGGATCCCCTACCCCGTCCTCCAGAACCCATCTGGTAGAGCCAAGGAAATTTTATTAAGAATAGACTGAATGACACGGCTTGACCGGAGTCCTATCTCAGTGCACAATGCTGAAGCAGACTTCCAGGCCCCACCCTGTCTCAAATGCCCAATTTTGGTAATACCCGCCGCCACCATGCGCCGTCGAATAAAAGCAGACGGCAATTGATTGGTCTGAATCAGGGGGTTGTAAAACAAGGGCTTCCTCCTCCTGACTGATTCACGGCAGAAGGCCCAGCCTATCAACTCTCAACACCGATGACCACGCTTTTAAGACAGACTGATAAAAATAAGTGGTTGCTGATATATCCACCGGTTTCAGGTCGAGTACAAACAGATGTCTGTCATAGCCTAAATCCTCCACTCACTGCAGCAACATGCATGCTGTATCAGCCCATAATAACTCTCCGCCATACAATAAACTCTGAGCTGTCTTTAGTCTGAAAGCCGCGACACGGCCAGCAATATCAACTAGTCCCTGACCTCCTTCCCCCACTGGCAGATGAGGCACCGAGGCACGTGTCCAGTGTTGACCGGACCAAAAAAAAGTCTACAAGCTTTTTTTGAAGCTCTCTGATCAGCGCAGGTGGAGGCTCCAACACCATGAACCTGTGCCACAGTCTGGACGCCACCAGGTTATTAGCCACCAACACCCTCCCCTGTAGGACAGCTTAGGCAGGATCCACAACCAACGAGATAGCCTGGCACTTACGTCTTCCAGTAGCCCCTCCCAATTTTTATTGATGTAATCTGCTGGTCCAAAAAAAAAACCAAGATATTTCATACCCGTTCTTACCCTAAGGTACCTGGTAGCTTCGGCGGCGCTTTACCCTGCCAACGTCCACTCAAAAAACACGTAAAAAACAATATTCCAATTTACACGCGCTGAAGATGCCTTCTCGTACAACTCTAACCTGTGCATAAGCGCCCGAACATCCCCTTCCCCCTGCACGTACTCTGAAACATCATCAGCGTAAGCAGACAAAGAGATGTGCCCCATGCCTGGGAGCCCCTGCATCTTAGCCCTTAGACGACACAGCAAGGGCTCGATGGCTAGACAAAATAGCTGAGCAGACAATGGGCATCCCTGCCGTATACCCCTCTGCACTTTAATGGGACGGCTCAGCCCTGACCCCACCTTAAGCATTACAGAAGCATCAGCATACGAAAGTCTTATCCATGACAGGAAGGTTTGGCCAATGCCAGACGCTGCAAGAGTGGAAAAAAGATAACCATGACTCACTCTATCAAATGCTTTTTCCTGATCAATGGATACAACCCCTAAGTCAAGTGAATCTAGACTGCACAGGGCCATCACGTCACGCATCAAAAAAAGATTGTCCATTATGGTATGCCCAGGAACACAATAGGCCTGACTAGGATGCACTAAGTCCCCCATGCAACTTGCCAACCTATTAGAAAGGCAGTTTGACAGGATTTTATAGTCAGTGCACAACAAGGACAGCGGCCTCCAGTTCGCTAACAGTCCCAAATCCCCCTTCTTTGGAAGGAGAGTTAGCACAGCTCTCGTGCAGCTAGTCGGCAGCCTTCCGGCCCTCAGAGTCCAGGTAAAAACTTTGTACAAGTCCGAACCCAACAAATCCCAAAAGTGTCTGTAAAAATCTGCTGGCAGGCCATCAATGCCTGGCGCCTTTCCAAGCGACAACCGCTGAACCGCCGACGTTAATACATGGAGCCGAAGGTCCCAGTCCAGGGCTTCCCTCTGCGCTGATCCCATGCTGGTCATTCCCGTCAAAAGCACCTCCATGCTGGACTGATCACACTCTTCTTCACCAAAAAGCTCTGTATAGTAGTCCACCGCTATCCTCTGCATTTCCGCCGGAACCACAGTCAGTGACCCATCTGGACGCCGGAGGTGTAACATGTGGGACTTGGGTCTCTTCGCCTTGCCCAAACTGAAAAAGAAGGAGCTAGTGCCATCCATATCCCTAACCTGAGACATTCTAGTCCAAAACTAATGCCCCTTTTGCCCATACATTCAGGAAGGAACTCAAGGCCTTCCTCTTACTTTGCAATACCCCCACAGCAAAATCGGTAGCACCACCAACTAGGTCCTTCTCAAAAAAAGAAACATCCTTCTCCAAGACCTGAAGGACACTGCTAACAACTGCCCTCGACTGAGTAGCATACTGCTGGCAAAAAACCCTAATCTGAACTTTGCCCACATCCCACCAGGATGCTAAATCCCGAAAACGCTTCTTTTCTGTCCTCCACCTCTTCCAGAACTCAATAAACCCCGTACAAAAACACTCATCCAGCAGCAACCTGGTGTCAAAGCGCCAGTAGTATCTCGGCAATGAGGTTTTCGGCAAAAGTAAAACAACCGACACCAAGTGGTGGTCAGAGAAAACACACGGACTTATAAGTGCCATTAGAGCTTTATTCCGTCCAATCTTGGACACATAAATCCTGTCTAGCCTTGCGGCACTAACCCCGCCAGCTGATGCTTTCACCCAGGTGAATTGAGTCACTTCCTCATGTTTCTCCCGCCATACATCTATCAAGCCCCGTTCCTTCACCACCCGACTCAAAGCTACCCCAGACGCCATAGAAGGCTCTTCCCCAGTCCTATCTATAGTGGATTCCGTGGTACAGATCCAGTCACCCCCGACCACAACACAGACGTCACAACCGTACCGTTGCAATACAGCATCCAACTCTCGAAAAAAATGTAATCGACCAGTCCCACAAGTTGGTGCATAAA